GCAATTTTCCCTCATCAAAATTCTTCAGAATTTAAGAAATTATCACCATCTCCAAACCTATTTACAAGAGTTCCAAGTGAAACTGGAGAGGAAAATGGGCTTCTCTCATCTCAAAGGGCAAGTGGAGTGAGAACTGCTCAAATTTGGGCTACTATATGTAACCACAGAATGCACTTGTGAAGACCTTGAGATGGTCATAACCTTACTTTGTAACCACAGAATGTACTCCAAATGTGCTTGTGACCTTGAGATAGTCTTGACCTTGCTTTGCAAATAACATACTTAAGAAGGGACCGGGATGACAATAATAGATAGAAATGATCACACTGGGTGTTAAAAGTAGGTAAAGGGATATACTGGAGAAGCTTTCAATATCTGTACTGCAAACCACAATACCCAAAAGGAGAGGGTGAGGACAGAGGAGAGAGAGGGGGGAGAGAAAAGAGAGGAGAGAAAGAGAGAGAGAGAGAAAGAGAGAGGGGAGAGAGAGAAAGTGAGAGCGAGCCAGCTACAAAAGGCAGGCTGGGAGAGATAGGGTGTGACAGGTTATAATAGGAGGGAAACTGGGGACTCTGGTGCTGGGAAATGTACACACGTGGAGGGATAGGTGTTGGAACACTGTATGACTGAAACCTAATCATGAACAGTTTTCTAAAGGTCTATCTCATAGTAATTAAATAATAAAATCTTTAAAAAATGAAAATAATTTATGCTCCTGTACTTATCCATCAGCTGCCTGCAAATGCCACCTCCCTAATCAGATACCCTATAAAACAGGACCCCTCCTCTTGCACCACCACCAACAATCTGGTCTGCCCAGTCTTTTGAGCAGGGGCTCTGCCAGGTGCTCCTGTGTAATAATCCTAATTTCTCTCAACTCTCAGAACTTGCTCCTCTGTATTTCACTGGTCTTTATCAGTGCTGATTTCTGCAGCAAAATATGTAGATGATTTTTTGCATGAAACTTGAAAGAGCAGAAAAGTGAGAACAGGATAGTTGCTTTGGTCAGAGAGGTATGGGGAATAAATTGGACACGTAGACCAAAAGATAGTAATAGGAAATGTACTCATTTTCTATGGCCAAACATTCATGAAATCAAAAGGCTAAAATTGAAGAACTGTACAAAAACTATATGGTGAACATAGCTGCAAAAAAATCTCAGAATGTACATATATATGTATATGTGTGTGTGTCTTAACATATCTGAAGGCCACTTTATTTTAAAAATTATTTTTAGTGTAACACCATGAGGTACAGTTGTAGATTTACAAATTTTTGTGCTTAGGTTTTAATTATACAATGATCAAACACCCATCCCTCCACCAGTGCCCATTTTCCACCACCACGGGTCCCAGTATCCCTCCCACCCCCCATCTCCCCATTCCACCCTGCCTCTGTGGCAGGGCATTCCTTTTTGTTCTCTCTCTACTTTTGGGTGTTGTGGTTTGCAAAAGAGGCATTGAACCACTTTAATTTTTGACATCGAGCTTCAGAATTCAACTCCCAACACATGTCTAAATTGTGTTTCCCTTGTTACTGTGACTCAGTTTCAAAGTAATATATACTGAATGAGCATTAGTTTATGTATGGGCACATGTTTACTAGTTCTCTTGCTAGTCCCAGTCAATTTCATGATTTTCTTTCTGAGTCCTCTAAGTCTGGGAAAACCAGTATTTTTATGCTCCCTCTTTCCCTGCTGTGTAGTCTTCCTGGATAATCTCATTCATTTCCATAATTTTAACTACAATTTATATGACAGGGCTGGAGCGATAGCACAGTGGTTAGGGCATTTGCCTTGCACCTGTGGCCCACCCAGCTGACCCAGGTTCGATTCCTCCGCCCCTCTCGAAGAGCTGGCAAGTTACCGAGAGTACCTCGCCCGCACAGAAAAGCCTGGCAAGCTGCCCGTGATGTATTCGATATGCCAAACACACTAACAACAAGTCTCACAAAGGAGACGTTACTGGGCCCGCTCGAGCAAATCGATGAACAATGGGAGGACAGTGCTACAGTGCTATATTCCATTTATATTTCTGCTGTCCATAGTTCTCTTCAAAGAATTTGTATAACTGCTCACTCTACTTTTCCATCTGGACAACAGATTCATCTCAAGCTCAATAATATCAAGCTCAATAAACTCTAACAGAACTCATCAAATTCAAAGACTTTGATTTCCTGTGTTCCCTAAGTCAATGAGTAGCACTCTAACTCATAATCACAGAAGCCTCTGAGTCATCTTCCTTCGCCATATTAGATATTGTGGTCCCCAATTCTCAGCGTCGCTTATTTTGTTTGGTCAATGTCCTCAGTTTTCTCTAGGATAGCCACACCTCCTCATCACAACTTTTGGGGAAGTGAGCATCTATAGAGCCTAGGGGTAGGCTATATGTGGCACTGTAGCACTTGTCCTCCTGTTGTTCATCGATTTGCTCGAGCGGGCCCAGTAACGGGCCCAGTAACGTCTCCATTGTGAGACTTGTTGTTACTGTGTTTGGCTTATCCAATACGTCACGGGTAGCTTGCCAGACTTTGCCGTGCAGGCAAGATACTCTTGGTAGCTTGCCAGGCTCTCCGAGAGGGGTGGAGGAACCAAACCTGGCTGGCAGCTTGCAAGGCAAACGCCCTACCGCTGTGCTATTGCTCCAGGCTATATGTAATTGTCTTAAAAATGGAGGTCTCATTCCATGACCTCCATTTTTAGTTTATATATAGATATATAAATAAGGTCTGGGGGTGGGGCTTGGGAGTTCTGAGAAAAGAATTGCCAAAAGTTACTCTTCTTGTCTTTAAGTGTAAAACTAATGGCATAGGCCATTAGGCCAAAAAGTTAATTGTAAGGAAGTAAAAGCAGTGAAACAAAAACGTCCTTAATTATTTCATCAAGTTATTGAATCATTCACCTCTGTAGCTTACTTTTTTACTAAAATTCCTGGGTCAATATTGTTTTATTGGCTTAGTCACTGGGGTTGGGTTTTCTGCTGCTTGCAACCAAAAGTGTTAGAATTTATAACTTTCCTTTATCCTTCATCCATAAGCACTAAGTTCTACTAATATTCTTTAAGTAATGTCTGATTACCTTCAGTTCTGTGTTCTATCGCTGCTAGCGCCTTCCTTCATTCTATTAAATTTTTATTTTCCTCTTATAATTTAACAGGGTGCAGTCATGCCAAACATAACAAAAGTCTTTCTAAAATGCATCTTACAAAAATTTCATGTCTATAATTCTAGCATGACTTTCCATTGCTTCCTCAAAAAAATGTCACATTCCATATTTAGTATATAAGGTCCTTCATGACCTAAGTCATCTCCTTTACCTTTTCTGTCTCTCCTCTTTTCATTCCCCCTACCCTCACCAAATTTCATTCTACCATCAGCAAACCTGAACTCTTTGCTGAACCAAAATATTATTTTTGATCTCATACATTTAGGACTTTGCTCTTGCACCTGCAATGCTCTCACTCATTTCTCTATGGCCCCTCCTTTGTCAAAGTACACAAACACACTAACTCCTCCTAGTCATTTTCAAGTTTAAATGTTCTTTGAAGCATTTCCTGACCTTGTTTGTATCTGAGGTAGCTGTGTATCCAAAGCACCTTATGTACTTTCCTATTATAGTGTTTGTCACAGAGTCTGTTTATTTACCTGTTTCCTACTCTGCACAGAAAGCTCTTTAAAAACAAGGCATTTGTTTTGTATCTTTATTTCTGAGATCTAATAAAAGCACCTGGGACATAGTATGCACTTTTTTTAAAAATGCATGAATAATTATGTGGTCTGTAGACACAAGCATTTATGATGCTGATGTTGCCTTATTTGAAAAACTTCACATTTTCCTGCTCTAAATGTTTCTGATGTCTATGCATTGTTTTCTTTCACAGAGTTTGAGGCTCTCAGTAGGTAGAAAACATAAATCCTTGTAACATGCTACCTTTAACACTCTGAAGATCCAATAACTTGTTCTTTCACCAGCCTCCTCCACCAGATTCAAAGCTGGGAGCCAGTATGGGTGTAGCTGACCAGCCCAGCAGCATACTCAGACCTTGGCTCAGGCCTTTCATTGGCAAATAAATACTCGCCAATAGATACAGCTAAACAATTTTCAACTTTACTTATATTTCACCAAAAATTAATAATTTTTTTGGTCTTAGACATTAACACTGTATTTTTATTCTAGTTTTGGAAACAGGGTTACAATATTGTTAAAGTTGACCTACGAAGTTTGAGCCCTCCCCACCAAAACCACTACCATTGTACCTAAGACCCTCCACAACTCCCTCTATCAACTGTAGTGTTTTATACCATCGTGTAATCATCTCAATCCTAATCTTTACCTTTTCTACTCAGATGTGACTAACTGAATTAAGAAATTGTGGTGTTCTGATAGCGTATTCCTAACAGCCTGGGCCACAAGATTGAAATCAAGGTTGATAAGATTGGCTTGGGACAATTTGTATGGAGAAGTACTTGTAATTTAGGTTTTGTTAGAAAATCCAAGCGGCAGGGAAGACCGAAATAAAACGACCAAAGTTAGGTTTCAATGGGCACTTGTGAGTGGTGAGGTTAGGAGTCGGGGGGAGGGGTGTGGAGCGAAGGAAGAAGGACTAGCTAAGGGCGGGATCCCCAACTGCTCCACAGTACAAGACTGGCCTTGTTCAATCTACAGTGGCCCTGAACATGTTCGTCTTCAGTGTGTCGGTGACCATAGTAACAGTGGGGACGAACCACTTCCCCGGAAGCATGCGCAGTACAGAGAGCGAGCGAGCCGGGACATGTCCGCGACAACAATGTAGCCTTTTACATGCTTTCAGAAAACTACAAATCCCAAGAGACCCCTCGGCGCCGCGGCGCCGCCTCCTGCTGTGGCCCCGCCCGCACTCCCTCCCTCTGGCCCCGCCTTCCCGCTAGTCCCTCCCCTCCCTGCGAGTGTGTGTCAGTGACCCAGAGGCGGTGAGAGGCGGAGGGACCATCGGGGGGCGCCGCTGCCGCCGCCGCCGCCGCCTCCTCTTTTTTTCCTCCTCCTCCTCCTCCTCCTTCACCAGCAGCAAAAGCAGCAGCAGGAGCAGCAGCAGCATCCGCCGCGCCGCGCCAACCGATTTGTCTCGAGCCCTCCGGGATCGCACCACAAAGCGGGCCCCGCGCCTCTCCCTCCACCTCGAGCTCCTCGGGCACTCGGCTCCGCGGCCAACTTCCCCCTCGGCCCCGGCTGGGCCGCCCGGTGCGGAAGGCGCGGCCGAACGCCGGCGGGTCCGTGGGCGCTCCCCGCGCTCGCACACTTCACCTCCGCGTCCGGCCTCTGGGGGCCGTGCAGGGATTTCGGGCCACCAGCAATTGTCCGGTGAGTGTGGCCGCCGCACGCCGCGGGAGGGCCGGCGGCGGGGTGCGTGGCCCGAGAACGCGCAACTTCCTCGGCGACTCCGGCTGGGGGTTGAGGGGAGGTGGCGGGGGGGGGGGGGGGGACGGCCGGCGGCCGCGACGCTTCCCCCGCCCGCCTGCCGCCTTGCGCGCCCCCGCGGCCGCGGCGACCGGGAGCGGAGTTTGCGGCGCCGGCATCCCGCGCCCTCGCTGGAGGAAGCGCCTTTGTCAGGAGCAGCCGGCCCGGCGCTCCCTCCCCCTCGCCAAGTCCGAGCCCCGCGCGCGCGCCCCGCAGCCCGAGGGGGCTCCGCGGGGGCCGGGGAGCCCGAGGGCAAGGCCGGAGAAACAAAAGGGGTCGGTGGGCTTTTCTTTTGTTTGTGCGAATCTGACAACTTCTTTCTCCTTTCCTTACGTAACGCCGACTTTCAAGTTAGTCATTCTTTTTATGATGATGAGGAGGATGATCATCATCATCTCGGCGAGTCTCTCGCCGTTTCCTTTCATCTCTGCATCTCAGGGCATTAAAAAAAAACACGCACACAAATTAATTACAACTCCCACCCCTCCCCACCCCCCGCGGGCCCTTCTGAAACTAGTTGATACGCCCGTTTCCGTAAGTGGGTAAACTGAGGCCCCGAGATGCTCTCTTAATTGATGGATACGCCAGATCCTCCTGCCGCGTCTCGTCCAGGTCCGAGGAGACCTTGAAAGCGTTTATGAGGGAAGAACTCGTTCTCCAGTGCCCCGTGGAAAAGTTCAAGATGCTCGTTTTCCTTACGGGGTTAACTGGAGTCTAAAAGAAGTCTGGGTAATTGTTAGGTAGTTCAAACAATAATTCTTCCTCGTGTTTGACTGTGAAGGGGAGTGGGGGGGGGGAACCTTCAAAGGACCTTCTTGAAAAACGCTCCTGTGGTGTGGGAAAGACTCTAAATCCTAAACGCGGCTGCTCCTCAGCTACTTTCATTTGGGGGCCGGTGGGTCCCTCCGGGCGGAAGGCTGGGGGCCAGGCAGAGCGACTAAGAAATGTAGCGTTCACTGATCTTAATCGCGGCGCACAGGAAACCCGTGTCGGTTTGAACAGCTCCACCAGCACGGCTGTCGTTGAGAATCAAACGGGATCTCAGTGGATGTTGAGCACTTTTGGAGAGGGCTGCTTGTACTCAGGACTGAAGCTTTGAGTGCAGGAAAAGCTTATCTATTTGTTTTGATTCGAAGGCTGTGGACTTTCCCCCCCTTAACTCAGCACATTGTTACTTGGCTTTCCCAGCAGCTGATCTTTTGTTTTCAGAACCGGCGTGGCCCCCCCACCCTTTTTTTTTTAACACCTCCCCTTCATAAGATTTATGTATTCTATAATTATTTTAATTTTGTGACTTGTGAATTAGTAACTTTGAATGTTTAGCGTGTGGTGTTGTATGAATTTAAATTTTCGTTTCTTCAGGTCTTGTTTTTCTTTTTAACAGGCGATGTTTTTTTCTCTGTGTGATGTGATCTGCATCTCTCAAAACTTTGTGTGGCATAAGTACAGGCTATAAATTCCTTAAGCTTTTTATTCACGCTACAGCCTTTTCTGGTGGAAAATACTTAACTCTGAGGGCGAGTTTGTTTATTTTGGTAGTTGAACCAATTGAAAGGTACCCAAAAATTTAAATCAAGCCTCATTTCTACTGGTTATTTCCTGAGGTGAATCAGACCTGGAGTCATAGGTACTACTTTCTTTTACCCTAAATTCTCTTGAATTTCCTTTCATAGTATAATATGAGTGACCCCCCAGGTTTCAGTTACTGTGGTGCCAACCAAAAGAGATTTAAAAAAAAAAATTAGCCTCAGTCTTCCTACCTACCTATCTTTTTTTTCTGCAGAATGTTAAAAAGAGGTCTTGAGTTTATAAACAAGAAAACAAAACAGTTCCATATGTGGAAAGTTGGATGTAGTGTAATGGTTATAATGTCTCATCTAATTTACAGTGTTTAAAGAGAAAACTGTCACTTAGGATTTTATTAGTGTTATTGAAGTGTCATAATGGTATAATATTTATTGACCTGGGGAAAAAATGAACTAAGAAGGCCTAGGATGTGGCTTAGTGGTAAGGCTCATACCTTGTATGCACAGACCTGAGTTAAATCCCTGGCATGGCAAAGCAAAACAAAAAGTTCTCCCTTAATGGCAGATATTTATGGGAGTGGGGGAAAATGTTGTTTCTGCCCTCCTTAAAATTGTCACTTTAAAAGGATCATACAGTTGAAGAATTTACAACCCTAACTTACAAAGGTTTTTGTACTTATTTTTTTTAATTGCGGTATTATTTCCATGGTATTAGGGTCATTATTTGTAAGTTGCAGAGCACTCATTCAACTACCAGTGATTCCGGGTCTCTCCACCTGTTAAAAACCACAATTCCTTCCCACTCCCCAGCCCCCTTACCCCTTAGCTAGCTCTGTTGATCATGTCTCAAGATTTGTTTCCGTTGAGTATTGTCTGTTTCCTTCTTAGTTTCTGTATAGCCCACATTTGAGCTACATCATGTGGCATTTATATTTTACCTTTTGATTCACTTCACTCAGCATAACTGCCAATTCTCTCCAAGTTGCAGTAAGTTGCAAAATTTCATCTTTTCTCACAGATGAGTAGTATTTCATTGTGTGTATAGATACACCACAATTTCTTTATCCATTCCTTAATGGACATTTAGCTATTGTAAGTAGTTTTGTGACGAACTTAGGTGTACTAATGTCTTCTTGGATTAAAGTTTTTGTACTTAAAGGTAATGATTAATACGGTGACTTTGCTCCATCACTGGGAGTCCAAAGGCAGAAGTTCTGTTGAATGAAATATGGTGTCTCTAAATTTCTTTGGGACCCTGTAAAAGGAATTGGAATGACAGGGCAGGAGACAGTCTGTAGTACTATTGAGTGCTAGACAGACAAGTTTCAAGGAGAAGCCTAAGTATGTTTATTTGATTTGTTTGAGCCTCCTTTCATGTTGTCAAAATGTTTCTTGGATATCGAGAGTTCTGTCCCCAGAGTTCTGTCCAGTACTTAGATTATTATCCAACAGATTGGATGATAAGGACCACTGTAGTATACTTTGTGCACAACTTAATATTTTCAGAGAGAAGCTTCTATAGTTAATAAAAGATTTTAAGCTTAAAGACTTAGATTTGAAAGTTAACATTCTCACATACATAGATGGCACATCTGTACAGATCTTAGTACTTACCTGAAAAATACAGGAAGATTATTTTATTATGTATTTTTAAACTGTACACATGGTATGTTAAAATTTCACAATGATAATTTGGCAGAGATGGCTCTAGGATTTATTTTTTTTTGAAAAATCGTACTATTCTAAATGTTACATTTATTATGTTTCTTAGTTGAGGTGAGTAAAATAAATTTAAGAGCCAGTGGGAAAAAGGAAATGAACAGAATGAAGAAGATTTAATGAAGATGTTTTTAAAGAGTATAATATTAAGATTCCTGGCAGCATGAGTTGAAGGACAGAATTCTAACTGAAGTCTTAGAAACCGTGAATTTCACTTAACACTTCTGTTTATAGATTTCTACCATCTTTTCTAGATTCTCTCTAAATACATTGTACGGGAAAAATAGAAACCATTCTTTCAAGAGATTTAGGTTTGAAAATTTTCACTCATGTGAAGGGTTAATTGTTTTTCACTAAATTTGACCTCTGCAGAGAAATATTTTCCAGGACAAATATGGGAACCTCCAGATAAGAAATAAAGAAATATTGGTCAGTAAAAGATTGGTATAATTTTTTGTTTGTTTTTAATGTTAAAAGACCACTTCTAGTATTTTTTTCTTGCAGAGTTTGAAAATTAATGCTTAACCTATTAACTTGTTGATCCTGCATTCTTTTTGGTTTTTTACTCAATGAATTTGCAAGTAGTACAGAGAAAAAACAAGATTCCTTGAGTGAATGTTAGGTAATTTCCGATTGTTTTTCAAGTTAAAATAAGTTACTGAAACCTGAATATCTGTGTGGAGCCTTTTAATTAGCATAGATTCCATCCAACTCAAAGGCAAAGGGCTCCATCAGGTAATTTAAGAGAAATGAATTGTAAATGAGTCTAAGAAGACCTGAATATATTTTCAGAATATTCAAGTTTTCTTAGAGTCTACTTATACCAATACATCTTATATCACTCCTGTAACTATTTAAAGGAAACAGGCTATATTCGTAAAAGGGAAAATCTTGACATTTGTTATCTACCAGTTAAACTTGACAATTCATGGAGTGGTGTTTTGTTTTGTTTTTTTTTTTGTTTTGTTTTTTTAGTTTTTAATGCAGTATTCATGTAGTTTACTTTTCAGATAGCTTATTGTTGATTTTTAGTTTATAACTGATCTCTAGGGATGTTGTTAACTAAAAATATATAGTCCCCAGTTTCCCACCATCAATCACTTTTTTTTCTTGTTAGGTTTTTGGCTGCAATTTGTTTTTCCCTCTAAGATTGGCTAAAATAAACCAAGACATGTTTAAACATACATGACAAGAAATATAGTCAGTAATTTATTATGATCAACTTCAGCTAAATTTCAGTGTAAAAGGTGATATACTGGCTAAAGTAGGAATAGTAAGTACATTTCACCTTGGGTACCAAATCTGATGGTGGTTGGTGGTGATTGCTTAGGATTTTAGGTTTAGTAAAGGAGGAGTTGCTAGTTCAGGAGTTCTAGTTCAGACTCATTAGGAAAGAGTGCTGTGGGCAGTAGACATTTGGCATGAATGCCAGATATTCATGCAGTATGTATTCATTGAATGCCTTTTACATGTCAGGCACGGTTCTAGGTGCTGATATCATACAGACTTAAATCTGTTTTACAGTGCTTACATTGTACTAACTCTGCAGTGAAATAAATGAGTAAAATATTTTAGAGTTTAGGCACAGATGAAATCGTTTCTTCAGAAAATAATAAAAATAAGAGCAGGAAGGGAAGTAATAAGATTCAGAGATTTGGA